CAGTCCACGATGCCGATCGGTGAGTGGTTCAATCCCCCAAATAAACACATAAAACCTGTTTTTCCGAAGCCTATCAAAAGCTTTTCAATTGATTCGAACCCGAACCGGAGCTTATTGCGAATCAGAAGTGCTCATTCTTTATTTTCAGCACCACTCACCACCCATACCAATAAAATCCGAAGCTCAGTGCTTCCTCCTCTTCCTCTTCCTCTTCTTCGTCTGATACCGATACTCCCAGTCAAAGGTCGTTGAACCCTCTCTCTCGCATAGAAGTGCATCATGTTCATAGGAAAATTTCAATGCCATGGTGGCAGAAATTGCACTGCACAAATCTGAAATGCAATAATGCCGATGTGGGCGGGGCAGTGGGTGGACGGGGTAGGTCCCAGATTCAGATTCAGATTCAGACTCCCATTTATTTATAGCTCTCACGCTCTCCTGTAAATGGAAATGTAAATGCAGACACAAATGCGCTCTGCTGGCCGTGAAGTTCTTTTATTTTTCCTAGCTTCTTCACCTCTGCTTCGGCAGTTGGTGCGCAAAAAATAAAGTTCCGACTCCGTCTGCCAAAGTTACTTGGCATTGGCCATGGAGTTTAGAGTGGACCGGTATATTAACTACAACCTGAAAAAAGGTTTAAGTCCCAAATAAATTTTAAGCCTACTTCATTGGTACAATTAATATTATAAATAATAGATACAATCTATAGATTAATTCTTCTTTCCTGCTACAACATTTCACAAAAAAAAAAAATTCCGGAAATTCCCATGACTTCACAGATTTTGTTTATTTATTATCAAGAAAAGCTTTTCTCCTAACCTAAACCGGCATAATCTTTAAATGTACTTTGAAACCAAAAAGTCAAAGTCATTTTCACTTTGTTTTTTTTTTTAAAGAATTATAATGTACGCAATATTTTGGTCAGGTGTTATTGTGATACTGTGTTATCTAATTCACATTCACGAGTGATTATTCATTCACTATTATTTGTTGACATGTTCAGAAAATTTAAAGTTTTTCAACAATTTTAACGCTGAATGAAAAAAGACAACCAGTAAGTTCACACCTTTCGTAAAAATCTTTTTTGACGGGTGTGAATTTTACACAGTATTATTTGATGATTTTTTTGACTGAGACCTACAACATACAGAGTTGTTGTGTTATACTTGGTCTACTTGAGATGTGGAAGTAAGCATAATAAAAATCAATTAGAGCCCAGATTCCTTTAAAGCTTAAAATAGGTTTGAGGGTATGTTATGTCGTTCTTAAAAATAAATACTTTTTTTTTCAAAAATTAGATTACATCTTATCTGTTACAGAAAAATATCAAAAAGAGGGTAAATACAACACTAATAGAACCACAATAAGATACATTTTCTCGACCGCATAGTAAGTTTTATACCAGAAAACGCAAGAAAATTTAGAATTTAAAACCTATTTTTAGTTTATCACGCGGATAAGCCTTAAAAAGGTTAATGTTCCTGACCTGCTCAATAACTTGCAATTTGGAATTAGGTCCACCCTGAACTCCGAACTCCAGAGTTGTTGCTGTTTCGCCTAGCTGCAGAAGCTGCAACAAAAGCAAAAACAACAAAAAAACAATAACAATTCCCGGCGAAACTTCCGCTGAGCGAGAGAGTGAGAGCGAACGAAAGCGCTCCCTCTCGCTTGCACACGCAAAAGAAGCATAACATGAGCTTTTTATTGCAACTAAAACTTTTTCAAGAACTTTTCCCAAAAGAGAGAGAGCAAAGTGAGAGCGGAGAGCGAAAGTCGGATCTAATTTAAAAGCGTCGCAAGAACAAGAACAAAAACGAAACTCCAATGCAGTTTCATATTTTTCAGTTTAATCATTAAACAAAGAACCGCGCAACCGATCGCAACTAACTTGCTCATCGTCTCTTTTCAATTGATAATTGGTATGCTTTTTTATTTTAGTGATAACTTCTTAAATTAAGGGGAAAAGCTTTCCCCCCCAGAAAGAGCACTAATTGGAGCTTTCGGTGGTTAGTAATAGTAGTCAATAATGCAATTACTTCGTTGCAGCTGCCACCATTGGCTGCGTCACTTCGGAGTCAGCGACAAACTGGTAGATCGACTCGGCGGCCTCCAAAAGCTGCGCATCTGCTTCAGACACTTTAGCCAACGCCAGGAGATGGCCAAGACCCGCATCAAGATGACGCCGCTGCGCAAGTCCTCGTCTTCCAAGGGAGCGGGAGTAGTACTACCCAGTAATGGCGGAACTGTCATATCTGTAGGTGGCACAGGGACAGGAACAGGAACAGGAGCGCCCAAGTCACCGGTGGACAATACCACCATTGAACTTGTGGAGGTGAGTAACACAGAAGGAAAACAAAAGTTCAGCTTTTACAGGGGTTGGTAATTTAACATTCATTACCCTAACTAGTAAGCAAGCTCAAGAAAAGGGAACTTTAGACTTGTTATTCAAAATTTCCATATGTATCAAGCAAAATATTCATATCATAAGAAACTAAGATTTTTTTTTTTGAAAACAAGTTAAAAGCTGACCATCTTTAAAATTTAAAAAAAATTTTATTACGATTGATATTATTTGAATATTCTCCCTCAATGCTGTTTGTATACCTTTTGTTGAATCCACTTACCAAACTTAATAATAATAAGTTTCAAGTTCCAAAGATAATTAAAAATATATTCGTCGCCCAGTCATCACAATCTTCATTGCCTTATTTATTTTAAAATACAAAATAAATTTTTGCTGTTTTTCAGTTTTTGTTTTCTTTTTTTTAATGGTATGAACCCACTACTTTCATACCCCCTGAATTACTTAATATATAAAATTTTTTTTTGTTGTTTTTGGGATTTTTTTTTTTTATTGTTATGAACTTACTACTTTCCTACCCTCTGTATTACTTAATAAATGAAACAAAAACTTGAGTTTCATTCTAATGTTTCATAGTGCGATCGACACCCTTTAAAGCACACTAAATTTTAGATAAATAGCATGTTCTAATAGTATATTAAATGCTAGAAAAGTTTTTCCATATTTATTGACACACCTAATAAAACTAAACTTAAATTCTTACAGACTCCCACCAGACACCTGGAGAAAAACCACCAGGCCCAGAAGCCCATTACCAGCATTATGCCCATGCCCCAGCGTTCCCACTCCATTAGCTCCTCGGCCTCCAGCGACGTTCAGTCCATAAACTCCGACTATGAAGCCTCGTTACCACTCTCCGCCTTAGAGGATTCCCAGAATGGACTGAACCGCTTGGAGAACGGTCAGACCAAGAAAAGGAAGCTCTACCTGATCACCGAAAAGTCAGATGAGACCAAGGGTCATACAGCGGAGCTCAATGGACAGCCCAAGAAGCGCAAGATGTTCGTGGTCGTGGAGCAGGACAAAGAGACAGCGGGCCAGAAACTGATGATTATGACCGACAAGCCGCAGGCCAATCTCACCCAGCATTTGGAGAAACTACTGCCTGAAATACTGAACCGCATCCAAGACAAGGAACAGAAGCAGATCAAGCCAACTCCAGTGGTGGCAAAATCCAAGCCAGTGGTCAACAATCCTAGGCCACATATAACACTGCCGCCCAAGAAGAATCCCACAAACTTTGTGAAGGTCACGCCCACTCCAAGTCCCGTGCCTTCGCCCATCCCGATGCCACTTCCAATTCCGAGTGCCAAGATCTTGAAGACCGAGAACTTGGATGAGAAAATGAATTCACAGGATATCGAGACGAACATAAATCTATCGCCCGACTTCCGCTTCCTGATGAAGATCCTTCCTAAATTGGAACAGCTGCCCGAGCCCCACAAGCAGAACGTCAAGCGTTCCATCCAGATCTTCGTTGAGAAGAGCTACAGTATCTACGGCAATAAGGATTAATTACCAGTATTTCAACACCAATTTAATTTCCATTTCATGTGAAACAGTTACCATTATTTTCGAAAGAATCGTACATATAGAAGGCATTTCATTACATTGTCTAAGACTGAAGCAGAAACCAATTTATTGTATAAGCCCCCATTTAGATGAGTAAGACAGTCCAAAATTTGATATTACCCCTGGATATGGGTACGTTTTGAAAGAGTAAAGCCATACAACTAATTACCAGAATTGAAGACTTTTCTATATTGAATATATGAAAGCTTGATTTAAGCTCAACAATGAATAATGTGTTGTTTTTTGGGAAAATAAACGAATATCATTATAAATTACCACTCCCCATTAAAAGTACCACTTGTTTTTTCGTATCTTTTTGTTTTTTTTTTTTGCATTGTAATTCCAAAGAACTTTATTTAGTTTGAAAGCATTTTTTACGGTTTTGTCATCCATATTCTTTCTTTTTTCAGTTACGTTATAATAATATTTAGTAAGTCTAATGCGGGTTTATTTAGTGTGGTTTAGTTTAGTTAATACAATGGTTAGTGTGTCTTAACGATTTCCATGTAAATTACACAAGTAAGTTTTCTGGGTTCTTAGTTTCGTTTCAGTTAGTATCTGGTTAATGTGGTTAATACATTACATATATACATTTAAACAGTTAATGTTTAATTTAGCTTGCGGGTCGAGGAAACCAAATCGTGTGTAAAGTATTAGGGAACTTTGTTGCGTGCTTTTACTGGATGAGGATTTCTACATGAGTGGAGAGATTCCATTTCGAGTGCTACAATTATAATCGCATAATATACTTTTTACAACATTTAGCAAATTTTCCATACACATATACTCGTTTATCGTATTTTGGTTTAAGCATCTGCCATCGATTTTCAGTGGTTATAGGTTTTTTATATACCCTTATATCGTGTTTGTTAACTACGTTTTGGTGTGACCTACATTTAGCGTTCGCCTTTTTTTTTGTTGTCGGTTAGCGTATCAAGTGTTTTTACATGATGTTTATAAGAAAAAATATTTGCCTTTAGATTTCTCTACGAAACAGTTATGTCATTATCATCAATGAGAAGCAATCACAAAGTTTTCTCTAAATTTATGTGCGACGATTACTATATTTATCATTTTCTTTAGTATTTACACAATTTTCTCGAAGTGCAAAAAGCAGCCATATTTTTTTTGGCAAGTGTAAGCAACTACATTTACTGTTAAGTCGAAGATTTCTCATTCTTCATTTGCATTTACACATCGAGTTGGTTAATCATCGGTTAGTAATGGGTTCGGGTTAAAAAAACTGTGTCACAATTTCTACAAACAGCCTTTTGTTAAACGTGTTAAACATACATTTATATGGTTATCTTTATGTTATGCGAATTATAGAATTATTTCGTATATATAGGAGTGTTTTTAATTTTTACAATTTATAACCTGAGCGCGATCATTTTTATGGTTTAATCTACCAATCTTGACCAATTCTAGTTTCAAAAATGTCCCCATAGATTCTTACCAATTTTATAGGTTTATATCCCATACATATTTGGTTAATATTCAAATGGTTAAATATAAGTGGCATCCAAAGGTTTTTCACTTCCATGGAACGCTGTCATTTTACCTGTACTCTAATACAAACTTGAAGAATTGTGTGGTGTGTGGTTTTAATCTCAAATATTGTCCATACATATACATACACATATCGTATATAGTAGGTGCTAGTTGTCGGGTTTTCACTGTGTTACATAGCTATAAATTCTAATTAGCAAATGCATTGGGTTGGGTTGGATCCACTTCAAGTAATGCGACAAATGAAACAAAATTGATTCGTTTTCTTCTTTTTTTGTTTTGTTCTTATTTTTTTTTTATACAGTTTACACAATTTTTTGTTTTATTCTCAGTTAACGTAAAATTAATGCATAATACGTATCTAATATATATAGTTAAGAATGATCCATAAATCGGTTTACAAGTCAAATACTAATGCAGTTTACAGTTACAGTTGATCTTAACTAATGAACTCATTTCGAACGGGAGGTTTCGGCGACCCAAGTCGCTCTCTTCCAAATCATACATCCTATATAGGATCGATATATATATCGAGTGTGATTTACTTTATTTTATATTTTAGTTCAGACCTGCTCCAATTGAGGGTTGTGCTATGTGTGTAGTATAATGTACATGTCCATTTCTTATCATACTCGTATTACCGCATAGCTAACCGTCTTACTGAGCTAGAGAGAGATGTGGGCTAATTATTGGTGGGGGTGTATGGAGATAATGCTATGTACACGGTGCCTAAACCGAACCGAAAACTAACTATCCGTATGCGTAGCTATATATTTATATATGTACCTCTATGTGGAGTATGGTGCTTAGACATGTAAATGATGTTAATGTAGTTGTCAATTTAACTTGCATTCGAGTGTGTCTCTGTGTCGGTCTCTGGTCAAATGAGGGGAAAACAATCAGTAATAGGTAATCGGTAATCTCTAATCTGTACTCTATATATTTACGGTTAAGAAAAACTTTAGTTATAAACAAAAGTTGAAAAGAAATTCTACTTTTTTTGCACACTGATTTCCTTTGCCTTTCTTTTCTTTCATTTCGTTTTGTTTTTGCTATGAGATCTCCGTGAAAGTTTTGAATTCATATTTGTTTTTTGTTTTGTTTTCGTTTGTTTTTACGCTAATCCATACATGTATATATATCGGTTAATATATATAATGCTATATAATTAATAACTACATACATAAGAAAGCAGCACAGTTAAGAGAATTGAAGAAGAGGAAAGTTTAGTTTAGCTTCAGTTTTAACTTCTTCGAGAGCTTTTTCTACTTCATCGTCGTTTTGTTTTCGATTAAATATTTTCATGCATTGTTTTGGCTCTAAACATTGAAGACAAAAGACATTCAAAATACACATATACGGTATACATTTTTAATTTCGTTTAAGTGCTTAAGCTACATCAAATTAATTTTGACCCTTTCAAGTAAAAGAATTGTGTGAATTTTATATTGCATATCCTCAATCATTCAATCGTCGTCGTCAAATGAGAAAACTCAGTCTTAAACATATATAATGTTCTGGGCAGCCGAGGCCTTAGCAATTGATCCTCTATAACCGATCCTGTCCTGCACCTTAGCTATAGCCTATAGCGATGAGCATTGAGAGAGACAGAGGTGTAGTTAGTCGAAAATTAAACTATATTACATGGTAATCAACTAAAAGCAAAGTATAAATATCAACTAAAATCGAATTGATCCGGGCGGTGCCTTTGGACTTCAAGGACGAGTATGGAAATCGATCCCTCCGTCCATTTGGGTTCGATCCGCCCGAACCATTCACTGGGGGCAGTGCGTCGTCCACTTGTTGGTTTTTCCTTTGTTTATTTGTTAGTTTACAATTATGAAAAGTATGTTTAAAAAGCTTAACAAACTATTATCAAAGCGAAAATTGTCATAACTAAATTAAGTTGAAATCGTTTAATTTATATTTATATTAATTTATATTGTAATTTTTGTTCAGTCGACAGTTGAAACTTTGAACTAATTTCATCAAATATTTATCTTTTTTTTCCTAATATTGAGTTAGGCCTGACCGCCTTTTTTGTGGTCAGATGCATTTAAGAGTACATATCTAGAAACCAGTTTCAAAATTGAAGCTTCAAACGTTTTGTGTAAATGAAAATATTTGCATAATTTCAAATAAATTTGTTTTTGTTTAGCGCTTAGTACACATTTAGCTGTAGCTACACATCATTTTGTTTAATATATTTTTCGTAAGCATACAGAAAATGAAATTATCCTTTTAATGGATGAAAAGGTTTATCGCTTGAGGTAAATTTTGGCAAACAAATTTTGGATTTGTGTGCATTTTGTTACTATTTTATTTTTAAATATATATATCAATATATTTAAGAGTTAAGCATATTTGTATATCATGAATACGATGTCTGTGTGTGTGTGTTGCTAATTAATTTACATATACATAGATTTCTTAGGAGCTTAACATAAAACATTTTTGTGTGGTTTTTGCATTTGCATTTAATTCGAATTTTCGATTAACTCTTCCAATTCTTGTCAAGCACAACAAAATATGTCTGCTTTGTTGCCAAAAAACTAATATTATTTTTTTAGCTACGCTTTGCTTTTAGTGCGTAGAATATCCTTCGCTTCATCTCTCTCATATTAATTCTTGTAATATTTCTCCTTCACTTTAAACTTGCTGGTTTTGTGTCGCTGCTGCTGCTGCTTTAACTACAGTTTTGTTGTTTAGACTAGTTTCAGTTGAGTTACGTTACAATATTTGTTTGTCTATAGTATTATTAAATATTTGTTTGTTTTCCTTTTTAGTTAATTTCGGTGGTGGAATGCTTTAACTTTCAAACAGACAAACGCCCACTTAAAAGCCGTTTGGCGCTTAAAAATTATTCAATCGTTGTTCCTGGCTGAGTTATCTCTGGGTTGGGTTGGGTTTTCGAGGATTGTAGAGGGTTTTTGAGGGTTCTATTTGGACTGGGGATCGACTCCTCTCCTCCTTTTTGTCGACGGCGAGGGTCTATCGTTTGGCTGTGTTGCTTTTGTTTCGATTTTAGGCAGCAATCGCCTCATTTTGCCGTCATTCCCATTGATGAGGCGAGGGCGGCAGCTCCGAAGGATGTGCCACGGTCGAACTAAATTCCAAGTGGGGGGAAAAATAATAAAATAAACAAATTTTAATACCGAATTATAATAGTTGGATTTTTTTGGATTAACATCTAGATTAGTTATTTCATGCCATGTACAACGTAAAGGTTACAGAAAACATTTAAAGCATCAAATTTAAGACAAAATACAATCAAAATACCAAAATAGCTCCCATCAAAAAACAATCTTAAAACAAAACATGAAATGAAAATGTACAAAATAGAACTACATAAAAGAGTTTTTTTTTCGGGTTTTGGAGAGGGGCTTAGAGTACAAAGTAAAAGTTTTGGTTTGTTAATCATAATAATCAAAAGTCATTGAGTGGTAGTTGTTCAAGCGTTTAAAACTACTTCAGTTCTTTCTTTGTCACTGCTGCTCAGCTGCACTGCAAATTGTACAAATATTATATTGCATGATTTTCTGTGCAGTTTTGAATTTACTTAAATTGATCCAAGCAAATGAATGGTATTTTTGAAGGCTTGTATGCTAAACCTGCTTAGATTAGGAATTTTTTTTAGGGTTATGCAGGACAATGACTGAGCTATATGATTTGCGAATTGGTGCACGAATTATTTACAAGATGAAAACAAATTATATTAGTTCTTTGACAGTTAAGACATATATTTTTTATTTCTTAGTTAGATGCTGATTGTTTTTCATAGTTTCTTAAATCAAAATATCAAGTTCCTATATTTTTCGTACGCTTTACAATGGTTTGGAGGTGTTTAATGCCTTTTCAATAGATCCTTTATATGACAAGTGTGCAGTACATTTGCTATGGGAATGATTGCAGGTTTTGAACATGGAGGGAAAATGGTCTGTGGGTGCATATGGGCTTAGTTTACTTGATGAAATCTGTATGCTGTACACGATTACGAATATATAGTATATATAGATATATGAGTTGAATGCGAACACAAAACATAAACACAAAATTGATTATGGAGCTGGTTATATGCATTGTTTTTTTTTATCAATTTGATTCGATTTATTGACTTTATAAAATAGTTGAAAATGTCTCTGGTTATTCATCCTTTTCCTCATTTTACCAATAATTGCCTTGCCAATTTTGTTCTCAATTTTCTGTGCGACATTTGTAAACAATTTTATAATGCTTCTGGTTATAATGCCGTATTTTTTTTTGTTGGTTTAAGAAAACATTTATGTACACAAAAATAGTTACGCAAAAATACCCATTAATGATATTAAAATTATAAATCATAATTAAAAGTTAATAATAAAGAAAAAGTTAAAACTAAAGAAGTTTATCGTTTTTTTTGTTTGTTTTTGTTTTTTTTCGTTTTGGTTTTATACACATTTGCATAAGGTAGGAAAATAGATGAAAAGATATGAACAAAAAAGGAGATAAACTAAATAAATAAATATTTAGTAAGGTTTTCGCTTTATCAACAGACCTAAGAAGGAGTAGAGAGACAGTTGCCGCCCCGAGGCCTCATTTTCTGTATCTGTATTATTGTATCTTTTGACTTGGCTGTGCTTGCATATTTCATTTTCATTTATATCATTTTCATTCTTCAATCATTCGGTAGATTTCGGATAGTATCTTGTGACTTCTGCGTTTTTTTTGATCGTATATCGATTCGTTCTAGTGAGAGGAGATCTCGCGCGCCTAGTATCTTGGATCTCTGGATAACGATCTCGATCTGGATCTGGATCGGTTCTCGAGGGCAGCGCAACAACAGTAGGCGGCGGCGGATTGGAGCAGCGGCAGGAGCAGCAGTGCAAGTTGTAGTGGTAGTAGTGGTAGTGGTAGTAGTAGTAGATTTTCTCATTCTCATTGGCTTAACAACGCAAATATAACGATTCGATTTAATAGAAATTTCAAGATTAATATCCATGTTGAACAACAAAAATAAAAGAACAAACGAAAAAGATCATTTAAAAATAAGGTTACAAAAATTATAATCGTAGTTCGTTGGGGGTAGAGAGTTATATAGAGATAGTTCGAGTGGGGTGGGTGGGGGTACGACAATTAAGTGGAACAGGTTCAAAATATAGAGAGAGAGAGCATTACACGGAAGCCATGGTCAATTATTCAAACAAAAAAATAAGAAATCAATTGTAACATAAGAGTATAGAAAGTAAAAAACAAGATTTACAATTTTGACTAAGTGTTAAATTTTTAAAAAAGTTGTTGGGGGTAAAAAGTGGGACGGGACTGCGTGCAGAGGTGAGGAAAATTTTAAGGGTTTTTTTTTTCTTTAGGTGGGAAAACTCTTTGGAGGCCTTGGCCGGGAACTCCCCACTCACCTGGCGAAACTCTTGAAGGCCGCACTCTGCGGATTAATGCAGAGCGGCACACGACCCGTTTGCAGCTGCTCGGCTATGAACTTGTGCATCTCCTCTGCAAGTTTCCAATCGATTAGTTGTGATTGGATATTATTATTTATGATTTCCACTCACCCTTGACCTGTTGCACCGATGTGAGCTTGCGTTCCCATAGATCATCGAAGGGCTGGCCGGCGGAGGGCTCGAAATCAGCCGTATATTGTCGCATTCCGGCCGAGGTAGTGAAGCAGCATTTGCACATGCACGAATGGTAGCGCAGGCGACCCTCATCCAGATACGGATGCGCCAGGGCATCTGTCACAGAAATGCGCTTGTCCTGTTTGGGAAATGGGAAATAGTTGTATTAAGGAGTAATAACAATCGATAAATATTAACTGAGATTTAGAAATTTATGCTTTTCTGGTTATCCTTATTACTACAATCCTTTTTTTTTTTAGGAGTTTCAAAAACTATTATTAAAACTATACAAAACTGTTTCTCAATTTACACTTGTTTTCAGTTATTTAGTTTGATTGTAGAAGTAAATATAGTATCTATCACCATAGATTGTTTTAGATAAGTGTCATTCTGGACAATAGAAAACGACTTTAAGCGAACTTTCGTCAAAAATCATATCTCTGTCTAATGACGAAATTAAAAGACCAGTTACAGTTTTATCAAACCTTTAAAATATGTTTATGAATAGAGTCCTTTGTATACTCATAACATTATTTTTTATTATATAATTTATTTATTATTTTATGTTTGAAATCTGTAATGTTAATACAACTGATCCACAACATATAATGTTGTGGATCCCTTATGTTAACTTTGGATGACCAGATATTAGTTATACAATCCATATATAGAAAACCTAGGTTTCTCAAGCTCTAGCGTTTTTCCCTGACTTACAAAATGATATAAAACAAAGACTGATCTTTTCTTTAACCAGTATCTAAAAATATCTAAAACTGAGTTAGCATTTTAAAGATATATTACCGGATCGAAGACGAGCATCTGGCAGAGCAGGTGCACCGCCTCGTGCGTGGCATGCGAGCTGAGTGTGTAGAGCACCGAGAATGAGGGCGGCTTGGGCGCCCGGCGCAACATATGGGTGCGGGCTCCCTCGCAGGCGTGCCGCATGTCCTCCATGGTCGGTGTGCCCAGCAGTTCGGTGATCAACTCCAGCTGCTGCACCGGGTTTTGCGCCTGGAAGAGGATGCGACGGCCCAGGAGTTCGCCGAAAATGCAACCCACCGACCACACATCCACCGCCGACGAGTAGTGACGAGCGCCCATCAGAATCTCCGGTGCCCGATAGTACTGGGTGACCACCTCCTGGGTCATGTGCTTGGCCTGATCCGGCTCCTCCACGCGGGCCAGTCCAAAATCACAGATCTTGAGCACGCAATTTGAATTGACCAGCAGGTTGCCCGGCTTGATGTCGCGATGCAGGATGCGGGCCGAATGCAGATACTTGAGGCCGCGCAGGATCTGGTAGAGGAACACCTTGATGTGGTCGGCGGACAGGTGCTGCGGCGATACGATTATCTTGTGCAGATCCGATTGCAGCAGCTCCGTTATCACATAGCTATAGGTCGATTCAAAAGGAGGGGTTAAGGTGGAAACCAATTTTATAGAATTTTATAGCCACATGCGAGAGGAACAAAAAAAAGTTTAAAACTCCCTTTTCTCCTTTCACCACATAATTTCTTTTTGGCCTTGTTTGTTTGTGCTTAAAACTTTTTCAATTAGTTACATTTGCTTTTAGCCCAAAAGTTTCGGCTGCGTCGCCTGAAAAGCAGGCAACTCACTTTGGCAAAATCGAATTTTATAGTTTCTAGAGGGAAAAAATTTATAAAATAGTTGCAGTTTATTTTTAGTTTGAATATTTTTTGGAAGTTCATTTTCTCTTCTAATAAATTTTTAATTAAAATAACCAAAGATAAGCTTGCTAAATTAATTAAACAAATATTATATTCTTTTAAAGATTAAAAGGAACTTTCTTGATAATTTCTAGATGTAAAACCACAATTATTTAACAATGAAATTAAAATGGTTCCTAGAAAACCACATAATTCCACATTAGACTAATTATCACACTCTTAGCTGCAAAAGAAAAACTTTTCATTGGGTTTTTTGTTTTTAAAAAGGATACATTTCTTGAAAGAAATCCAAATGCGGTGGCTGTAGAATGTCCAGAGCAGAGAGAACCTGTAAAATAAATTAAAAATACAAAAAGGCATTAATAAAACACACTCACATGCGATCAATAAATGAATTTGACAATATTGCAGTGTCATTGAACTGGCAGTTAAAATTAAAATCCCTAGACAATACCGTCAACCCATCCATTTACACCTCATTTCGAGGGGATTACGTGGGGTCGGTCGGTTGGTGATAAATTATGGAGTTGCAATAAAAATCAAGTTGCATGATAAGTGTCGCTGCCGGGACATTAAATGCCGCAAGTTAAAAAAAAAAGCACAAAGCAGAAAATCAGCAAGGAAATTGTTGACCCCTCGAGATACAAGACACGCCAAAGTCTGGGGGTCTTTCATATGGTACTCCCCCAAGCCAAGTCCGTCGACTGATGGACAGCAGAATAAAAAGATATATATGTACATATACACAAAAAAAAAGCGAGGGTAAAAAGAACCCCAGACAGACAAGCGCTGATTTATTTTCGCTTGCGGTGAAGAGATGATGAAGGAACTTGCAGGCAATCACATCAAAAAATCTAACAGGAGGAGTTAACTCCTTACCCCCGCCATCCATTTAAAATCAATTTACAATATTTATACAACTCCGGTTGGGCTGCAAAATGCGTAAAGTGACCAAAACCAAAAAAAAGGAGGAAAAAACCTAAATCCGCAGCGGCAGCAAAAATGTTGCCAGCCACAATGTTGCACATTTAACCCCCTCGTGCCCGCATTTTGTCGGCAGTTGGCAAAGCCAAAAGCAGTTCAACAATTTTGAGCACTTTTCGCGGGGCTCTGCGAACGCAACAACAAAAAGTGCCGACAACTTTGGTTACTGGTTTTCCTCTTTTTTTTATTTATTTTTTTTTGTTGGCCTGCTAAGCCGTTGCCGTCTTCAAGTCTGAATCTCCGTCGCCGTCTTAAGTGGCAAAGTTTTTTTTTATATTTTTTTTGCGCTCTACAGGAGCGACGTGATATTCCAATGCCTTCCCCTTGGGTTCCTTTTGGAGTTCTGCTCCTTTGGCAGCCTTTGTTTTATATTTATTTCTTTGTCCGCCTCGGCAGCCCGTAAATTCTGTAATATTTCGCGACTGCGCCGCTGCTGTAATTTAGCGACTGCATTTGTTGCGTTTGCGGTTTGCAACATCAAATGCGAGCAGGTGAAGGATTAAGACCTTTGAGATACACTATCTGTTCTAAAAATATCTTGAGATATTTTTTGTGATTTTTAGATGTATGAAAACCATGAATTGATTTGTAGTCAATTTAAGTATGGTTGAGATACACTTTCTGTTCTAAAGAGATCTTGAGATATTTTATGTGATTCTTGGATGTATAAAAACCATGAATTGATTTGTAGTCAATTTAAGTATGGTTGAGATACACTTTCTGTTCTAAAAAAATCTTTAGATATTTTATTTGATTTTTAGATGTTTAAAAACCATGAATTGACTTGTAGTCAATTTAAATTTGGTTGAAATACACTATCTGTTCTAAAGAAATCTTAAGATATTTTATGTGATTTTTAGATCTATAAAAACCATGATTTGATTTGTAGTCAATTTAAGTATGCTTGAGATACACTATCTGTTGTAAAGAAATCTTGAGATATTTTATGTGAATTTTAAATGTATAAAAACAATTGACTTTTAGTCAATTTAAGTTTGGTTTTAAAAATTTTCCCAATTTCTGATGATATACATATTTTTTTTACCTTTTCAGATCTTTAAGTTGCCTATAAATGTTAAGTAAAATCTATCTGAATTTTATTTTAAGGCCTTTCTTTTACCATAGTTTTTTTTAGATCTCTTGTATTCATAAGGTTGGTTTCTTATTAAAAAATGATCACAATAACTAGGTTTTTTTTAAAGTACTTAATATTGTATCTTGTTTATTAACTCCATTATCAAGTTACTCTACTGAATGTTCATATTTGTAACTTGTTCATTCCTAGCAACCTATATACTTGATATTTATACCCTCTAATTTTTTAAGACCCCACATAATTAGCTGTTCGTTTGTGTTCATTATTCAGCATACATATGTACATATGCTTTATGGATATTGCCAACTCATCATGACCAAATCTCTTCCCCATCCAATTAGTTTTTCTGGTTAGGGTATAAAGCAAGCAATATAATACTAAGAAGGGGGAAAAAAAACCGAATTTCAAGTGTTTCTGAATGGTTTTCGTAGTTTCTTTTTCGGTCAACTTCATTTACTGCACTTCACCTCGCTGCACTGCACTTCACTTAACTTCACAGCGCAGGCGCGTAATTTTCCGAGGCGGACGGACGGGTTGTTATTGTTATTACCTGGGCTGGTTTATTTTTTTGGGGTCTCGGGTCTCACGTGCAGCGCGGCTTGCAGCTAATTAACATTTTGGCTTGGGCTTGCAATCAGAAACCAAATTTATGCATTGTGCACCGCCGAAGGCAGCTTCAAGTGTCCTTGAAGTGTTGTATGAAAATGCACAGAGGATTGGTGGAGTACAGGGGGAATTAGCGAGCTAACCAAGTTAGTAATAAAAAAAGAAACTACCAGCTAACTGGGTTGAATTCTTAGACACGAAGGCAAAGAAAAATATTAATTTTAGAATTTTCCGTTGTTATTCTACTATCAAAAAGTAACTTAAATTGTATGTTATGTTGTTATTCTACTATCAAAAAGTAACTTAAATTGTATGCTATTTAATACAACATATTTCATACTCATCAATATCATCATAATATATATAAACCATTTATAAAACTATTATTTATCTATTTTTAAATGAAAAATTCCTTGTTTCTTAACAAATTTTGTTAAAATATTCCCTTGCATATCTTAAAAATTCTAGTCAAATAAAGCGACTTAGAAACAAGTGAAACTTGTGTTAAACTTGCAACCAGCAGCTGTGGCAAGTTGTTGTTTAACCCACCTCAAAACCCACACAACACCTCCACCCCCTTTAACCCACTGAGCGCCAGCTCTTGTCTACAACTTCCTCCTGTTTTCCTCCCCAGTTTTCAGCTTCCAGCGAATTTTCCCCCCCAGCCCCATGTGGCTGCTGTGAAAACAAAAGCAAAAGTGTCACCGCTTCGACTTCACAAGTATTTTCATTCCAAGCTGAGGGACAAATTTCTAGCTAAAAGATTGTCAAGCAGCAGCTGTCAACACATATTTGTTGGCTAATTAAATGAGTGGGGGCTGTCGAGGGGACCAACTCCACCGAAATTGACTATTACAACTCGAAGAGCTGGCTACAAATAAAGAAGAAAAAACCTTGAGAAGCAACAACATAAATTTCCTTTGATTACTCCACTTCGCTAGTTAAAGCTTACAAGAAACTTTTAAAGCAACTTGGTTTTTTGTTGGGTCATTTCCTGCTAGATATGTATCTCAGAAGTTAATAAACGGGGAGAAAAGATGATACCAACCAGTTTTATAATATCGAATTTCGTTAAAAGAATTTGGGTTACAATTATAAAATGATTTTAAGTATTTGTCTTTAAAGATAATTACCATTATATGTATATTTTCATATCACGGTTATTTATAAAATCCAATAAAAATGCTTGATTCTTACTTTATTTTTTTTCCAAAAATGGTGCTCTTCTGTAAAAATATTATCTCAAGAGCTTTTTCTTTAAAAACAACACATTTCTTTTCTCCTTTCGGGGAAAATCAAAAACAAAATTGACATTTCAATGGCAAAAAGCAATGAGTGGCAAAAGCAATGCGAATAATAACAAAATTTGCATGCAATTGATGCTGCCAGCGCGTCAAACTCAATCATTTTGGGCGGAAAAGGGAGCAAAATTCCCCATAGAGGAGTATTTTTGTGGGGGGAAAATGGGGAAAACTTGGTTGCCACCTTCGAGTCTGCGTAGAAAATGAGGAAATACTCCTGCCTCGTTCGAGTTGCATGTGAGAAATGCTTTTGAAATGTGCGCCACGTACGTTGCAATAAGAAATAAAATTCAACAAAACGAAAACCCAACAGCAAATCGTTTTTATTGAAATTTTTTTTTCGGTTTGCAATTGAAATGGGCAACGGATAATGGGGCGCAGCAAACATTTTGCAGCGATTTGTGCTAAACTGCAATGCATAAAGCATGAGTGGAGTCATTTGTGGATGTGGAAAGCTATTGAAAAGCGGTCTATCATTCAAGAGTTTGATGGATTAAAAGGGTCAAAAGGTTGGCAGGAAGATATTTTAGTATAGTATTGGCTACTATGATTGATCTAAGTTATACAAACTATTAAGAAAATATGTTAAAATACTTAATAATAGTAATATAATTTAAAGAACCCAGCTCTTATACCCCTCCATTTTGTATCAATTAATTCCTGATTTGATTTTTCCATTTAAAAGCGACAAAGTAATTTGCCAGTACATATTCCAATCACTCAATCAATGTTGACCTCAAAATAATATGCCAAAAAATCAATTTGAAAATGAATACCTGACCGTTCTCGCCTCATTGAACTTACTTTCGAATGGAGGTCTTTCATTGATTGAGTTATAAATAGTTGGGCCCGTTCAATGCATATGAAAACCGTATGTAGAACCCAATTTGCAATGAATTGCAAGGCAACCACGTGCCAAGCCCAGTGTTTTTCCGATCCCCCCCCAAACTCACTCCACTTGTCAACAAACTTGTCTGGGCTTCCAATACCCCCGACTCTTTCTAGTTTTTAGATCCCTCTCATTCTAGCTAACCGTTTGGAGTTGATTGCACTTGTTTGCCATTCTCTGAACGATGTCTGTCATGTAGGAAATGAAACAGGAAACACAGGCAGATGCAAAACCATGTGGAGAAAATATATACAAAATGTATTATTTTCCAGAAAAATATAACCTAGTTTTTGATACGAAAGCTTGGAAATCTTTGTATGAAAATGATATTACCTAAACATATTGAATTTAAATTTATATGGGATGTTATCAATATAGATCAATATCGATGTGCCGCTTGTGTACGCTGTATGTGTGACGGCAGAGGCTGAGCAGAGCTTTTCCCTATGCCCACTTAATGATGATTTAAAGATATGCTTTTAGATTTAGATTTTAATTTCAACTTGTTAAAGCCTGTCTTATAATATTTGGAATAATTTAGAAACCATGAACCACAAATTCCAAGGGTGTACCAATATTTTTTCTCAGTACCTCCATACATATATCTCCAGCGTTGACAACAAAGTCGCGCCTTCGTTGTGCTTCTTTTATTTCCCCCTCCTGCGATTCATCCACCCACCTTTAGCAATTTATGCATATTAATAGAAAATTTGCATATTGGGCAAGGTGTTACAGCAAATGCTGTTGTTGCTGCCGACATATGGAATCGAGATTGGAGAACGGCAAGGGGGGTATGGATATATATGTAGCAGTCTGCTCTATAACGCCCACTTCTGCTATACCTCTTCATTATTGCATTACGAAATTCACACGCAGCCAAGCGCGAGTAAAAAAAAAATCACACAAAAGGAAATCATGTAGGCTGTTGGAAATGATGATGATAGATTTATGTATATATATATATATATATATTGGCCATCTCATCCGACATTAGATTCCCAGACAGCCCACGGCCTATTTGCTGTCTAATGAAGTTGAACCAATCCGAAAACGATTAAGCAAATAAAAAATTTTTAGAGGGGAGAGACCATGACATTTAAGAGTGCAGCGAATCTCGTATGAGACAGTTCCTCTCCATATAAACAAGTACACCTCTATAATAACACCATAAACGTCTTACAATAACCTCTTCTGTGACTTTTAACTTTGAATGCAAATGTCAAATATACCAAATATGGACCATAACAAAAGGTTCTAGAAAAAAAGGCCACTCGAATCTTTCAAAAGCCATGAGCACGTGCAGCGCAATCGCAATGAATATGTAAATAAATTATAAACGCTGACAATTCAGAGGGAATATATTTATAGAAAATGTCCCATAATATCGCAAAAAAAACATTTGACCCTCAACAATTGCTCATATATATTATTTGTATGTATGCTAATATTTTTTTAGCCAAAAATTCAGCATGCATTTATGCATTTATTGCCATCGCCTCTGGCTGTTTAAAACTGCCACAAAATGTTGGACAATTCACAGATTTTTTTTTCAGGTCGGGCACAAATTTGTTTGTCATAAATTTGCTGCATTTATTTAATGCTGACAGAGCGTGGGCCACATAAATAATTTAGTAAAAGAATGAATTCTGCAAAATTTTAAGTAAAACAAACCATTTTCTTTAAGCAAAACTACTTTATTTTATCCTTTAATGAGCTCCTATCACTTTTATGCCATATTTCATTTTATAATTACTTTTTCGCAAGCCTTGTGATTTATTGTAGTCACAGAATCACTACCACTACAAACTGAACCCAAGCTTAACCCTTTAAGAAGAACTGTTTAAATTCAATAAATTAACGTGGCATATCAAACATTTAATTAATGACAATAATATCAGCGAACAATAATTCCACTTGAGCAGAGAACAATGGACATTAAATGAAGGGCATAAAAAAGGGAAATGTGGAAAACGTTCCTCGAAAAGGATATATTTTCCAGAGCCTTTCAGCCCAAAAACTCCACCCACGGCAATCTCTGTCCTGTGTCGCAGTTGTAAATATTATGAAAATGAGCCCGGGACTAAAGTGGAAAATATAATTGTTAATAAATTCACTGCAACAAACCAAAAACAAGAAAAGAGAATAAGCTGAAGGCATTCGGACAGCCATGGCGTATACGTGATATTTTACGCACAAAGATATAAAGGATAAATAGCCAGCGTATATAAAGACCCACTGCAGTGACAATAATCAAAGTGGGGTGTATGTAAATATTTTAATTAAATTTTTATGTCATCAGTGAAACGCGAAGTTTCCGATGAAGATAGTTCAGTTAAATGTAAAATGTAAAAAAAAGAGATTAAACAGGAATTTCCACTTACATTCTCATGCTTGAAGAAGCAGAGCATTTTCAGCTCGCGAAAAACGCGTTTCGATGAGACCAACGATTGGAACACATTGGGCAGCTTCTTCAGAGCCACGCGTCTTCCATCCCGAGGATCTGTGACAGCCCTGGAAATTAAAAAAAGATTGGTTAAAAATCGTATGTTCATAATATTCATTGAAATTATAAGGATAATTTACAAAATCGCTTTGATTGAATTATGTTCTTAACATTTAAGTACCTATTATAAAGAATAATCTTAATGGAATTAATTTCCCTAGGCCATGGATTTTTTTTTGGGCATCCCGTTAAGAAATTCCTGTGTTTTTCAACCCAGCCAAAGTTAATCTTCAACTTCTTGTTCGCCCCGCTCAAGTGTCGCATTATAAACAGACCTCAATGGCAAAATTCTTTCCCCCTTGGCATGAATGTCATTTCATACTCTCCGGCCAGACAAAGCACAGTCAAAATCAGACAGACTGGGGAAAGCAAACAAACATTCGATGGAGTTTAAAAGTTCGTTCAACTTTTTGCCTTGACAATGCCAGAGTTATTTTTCTTTTGTTTTTCCAACCCCCTCTGTCATCTGGAAAAATCGCTTTTCTATTCGGGCCTACAAAATGGCGCCTAGAAGTAGGCAAATGTGTATTGTCTCGCTATTGATAAAAAACCACAACGACGACATGGACACAAAATTAGCAATACGAAAATTTCGCAAAAAAAAGGTCAAACAACAGACATGTGGGCTTTTTGGTTGGGTGGCGAAATTAAGGAGAATGATTCAGGTTAAGGGGGGTGGTGTATTATTCGAACACCGACGACACAGAGGCGTCGGGCCGGCTTATGGAGAACTTTTATGATGCCATTGGCCGTGGCTGGGTGTTAGTCAGCGTCCTGTCCTGTCTGGGACCAAGTCCTCGTCGTTCGCCTGCCCGACTCCCTCCAAAGTATTCTACACAGCAAAAAATTCAAGGTATAAATATAGAAAACTACTTGGAAAATGACGAAATTTTCATATATTTTTATTTCTTAGTCTTTTTTACAATACTATCATAAAAATATTGAAAATTTAGAACATTTTAATTTTTTTTTCGTAGAAATAAGATGGATAACATTAAATTCCTGTGAACAAAATAGGTTTACCAAATTTTCTAACTTTCAAAAATATAAACATTTAAATAACGTAACTTTTGTAGCAATTTTGGTTTCATTCTGTATATACAAATAATTCAATAAATTTTTAGTGGGTTCTAGCAAAAGTCTTTAAAATGTTACCTATTAAAAAACCTTAAGAAAGAAACTAAGTTATAAAAAATCTACTTTTAGTACACTTGTTATGTTATTTGATATATGATACATTATAGTATGATATGATATGATATGATATGATATGATATGATATGATTATGATATTATCTGATATGATATGATATGATATGATATGATATGATATGATATGATATATTATATTATATTATGATATGATATATAGTTATAAGATATATTATATTAAAAAAAATTTTTTCTCTGTGTTCTTATTTTTCGGCAATTTTTCTTACTTTTGCCAACTCTCAGCGTTGCCCCGTCTGTGGTGAAAAATATTTTTGTATAGACTTGGCTCTCAATAGCCAAAAACTGCGCAGCATCTTTTACATCTCCGGTTACCAAAAATTCCTATTTTTCTGCTCTGCCCTTAGCCTGGCTGTTTTGAAATCTGCTTGGGCTGCGTGATAAGTTAAGGGCCGTAAATCTTGTAGCCCTGTTAGTTCGGCCGACGACATTTAAGCGTACAAAATTATGGCAAATTGCTGCAGATTGAATTGGTTTTGTGTGAGAGCATTGCTCCATTGCTTTTCCCCACTGGCTTTCTTTCTGTGCCTGTGTTAGTGTGTTTCTTATTGGATGAGTCAGCATCCAATTTGAGTGTAGCATACATTAGGGCGCTTTCCTTGCAGGCAGAGCAAGCGATTTGCATGTCTGAGTTGTGAAAGCGAATAAAATTGTCTAGGCACAATGTGGGTAGTGTTAATGATAATGAGGAACGAAACGATTATGCTAAAATGCAAAACAACAAATGGAAAAAAGACAGACAAATGGCAGAAACTGGGTAAAGCTGTAATGTGATATTATGGTTGTGTTTATAATAATGTCAAAGTTCAAATATATAACAAAGAAAAGACTAATTTTAAAAGTTGTGGTTACATTTCTCATTATCATAGTAAGGTTTATAAGAATTCGAAATAGTTTCCCTAAGAACTATATATTTGAAAACTTAGTTCCAAGGTCTTACTTGGCTCATCCCACTCAAAAAAGATTCCCACCCATTAATATTTGATGGTCATCTATCAAAGTCGCTGGCGCAAAGGAATCTCAAAATCAAGAATTCACTTTGTTTGCCATGAATTGGGTTAAAATCAAAAATTGTTTACAGCCAGCACAGTGGGACCACATAAAACGAACCGATAAGACCACATAAATGGACAAATAAGGTGAATGATGTGGAATGATAAAAGGCGGCAGACAGAGAGGGCAAGAGTCGTGGAGAAAGAGACCGCATGATGATGATGGATGACAAAATGCAGGCACGTCTGTTGTGAAAGGGAGATGGTCTATGTTTGTCCATACCCCTCTGACCTTCGCATTTGATTGGACCCTCCCACAAAATTTCGACCCCCCCAACCTTCCAACTCATTTTTCCTTAACATCATTGCTGCAATTTCTGATGTTGTTTCATTTCTTTTTTCCCTCCTTTCAATGTCAGTTAATGGGAAATCATTTATCATGTGCGTGTCTCTCTAAGAGAATAAAGAAAAAGAAGGACCAGTTGGAAAATTTGAGTCTTAAAGCAGGCCACAATGGCAGTAGATATATATATAGATGTTCGGAGCGAAACAAAAAGTGCCAGAACTAAATGATAATTACCCAAGACAACAAAGCGCCCAGAGATCAATAATTTATCATCTCTGACCCCCAGGTCTGTCCTTCAATTTGTGCTGGTCTCCACTCAACTTGAAAATTTGTTATAGTTTCCCCCCATCTGATTGATCGAAACCCATCTTCAATTGTCTTGCTTCATTCCAGGTGAGAGTGTGTGTGTGTGTCTGGGCATTTCGTGTTCAAGTGCTCGAAATCGAATAAGAAAAGGGTTTATGGATTGGGAAAAAGAGGAACTAAGGGGTGGTAAACTTCAAATTGCCATTTCGATGTTGGCAAAGTTTTGTCGCATTCTTATTTTATATTTGCCATCATCCCTTTTCAATTTTTTGCTCATCCTACAAACAAATTCAAATATCCTTTCAATTGACTATTAAGCCAGTTTGATATCTGCTATAAGAAAACTAATTTTGAGTGGGGTATAACATGCTTTTTTCATTAGGATTTTTTGCCTTGAAGGAAATATTATTATTTTTACTTTCTTTTTGTAATACTTATATAAATAATATACAGCATTTCACCTTAAACTGGGGTTTTAAGGGTATTTTGCATTCGATTGTCTACCATATCTAACTCCATTGCAAATTCCTTTTGGATGCTTTAAGCAGCTTAAGCTGAAAAATAACTTTTCAATGACTTTTCGAGTTCGGACCTCGCCTGCGGGCCACATCTGCCTCAACTTTACATTATTATTTCATTCCTTTTCAATTTTTTGCATTCCTTGTATTTTATACATACACTCTCTTCCCCTTCGTATTACACAAAATGATGTTTTGGACCCTTTTTTTAGAGGCCAGGAGCATCAACAGTATCGCAGCAGCCGTCGCCCTCATCTGCTTGCATAATTTCATTTTTGATTTCTTCTGACACTTTGCACATGCTTTTTGAATAACTCATCACCTTGTGCACTCATCATCAAACATTCTTGGCTCAGCCACACCCCCTTCGAACGCCCCGAACCGCCCCTTATCGCCCCCCTTCTTAAAAGCTGATCCATCCAAGTGAGCATTTGTTGCCTTTGGGCCTTTTACTTCCTGCTGCCGCGTCGTCGTCGTCGCCGTCGTCTGACGGCCTTTTTCTCCATCTACCAGATCCACCCGTTCATTGAACCCTCAGTATTCTGGATCTCACTCTACTCGATTACTTTAAACCTTTTTTTTTTAAGCAACTTTATTCAAGGGGTAAAAGAACTGTCAAATATCATTTGGAATCATGAAAATAATGTGATTATTTATCTATTCTGATAATTTAATAATATGTTATTATAGATATGATACCAAATACAAGATTTCAGCACCATAACCATACTATTTGCATTTGAAATAATTCACTAATTTTTGTCAAAGTCCTACTTATATTCATCACATGTTTTCCAAATCTTAAACCATTACAATTTCCATCAAATTTGAGGGTTAAAAATCCAGTATTATTGGTCATTGTACTTTTTAAATGCTTCCATATGTTTTCTAAATTTGAAACCATTAAAAATTCCATGAACATTGCCTGCTCACATTTCGCCATCGAAGTCCTCAATTACTAATTGCAGTTTTGCTATAATTATAGACCCATTATACGATATTTGCCACATGTGGCAGCTGTTGTGCTGTTGGGGGTGGCACTTCGCATAGGGGGGCTGCGTGTAAATTACTAATTTCTGTTGTTGTCCTGACATCGCTTTGATTGTCTCTGTCACTCTCACTGCGGCAGTTCAGTCTGTCTGTCTATCTGTCTCCCTCTGTCTTCCTGCTCTTTGTTTGCCCAGTGATGTGCTGAGCCATCCAAATGTTGTGTTTGTGCTGATGTTGGCATTTCGCAATGTCCATTATTTTGGTCAGTCACCGGCGGAGAATAGAGTAGTGCAAAACCATGCGGGTGCACACTGTACAGGTGACGAGAATGTGGGAAATCTCGATTAAATAACACATGTCCCAGTGGATGTGGTTGAAACCTCCAGATATTATCTCTGTTCTTTCGGCATTTTGGGGATTTTAGGTTGTTTGCATATGGTTTATAATTTTTTTTGAGGCTTACGTTATATAAAAAGGTTTACTAGAAAATCTTCTTCCAGTTCAAAATCATTATTCAAAAGGAAAGTATAAAAAAAAACATTTTGTAGAAGTATTGGTATTTTCCAGTATTTTTCAGTATATTTATTTTCAGTATATTATCCATTTTTTTAAATTAAGACTTTTGA